TATTGATGATAAAAAAATTGGTAAACACCAGTAAAAACTGTATCTGTTTCAAGAGTCAATCGATTTATACGTATGTCTGTATGCACTCGTGTAGGTGTGTATGCGTGTTTGGTCCATCAAATGAGTTTTCTTTGAAAAAATATTTCACAACGATATTTTGAAACATTTCAATTGCGATCGAATTACTGTAAATTCAGCAACTATTAGAACGATGCAAAACACGCTGTGTTTTCCTCTCAGAGGCCCCTCGAGCAGGTACATACACGTACACAAGAATCCCGTTCGTTAGCGACGATACAATACGATCCGTTCGGAAAACGTAGGCTCCACTGAGAGCCTTGTATACAGAGAGACTTTGCAACACGAATGTATACGGGTCTGTGTACATAAGGCATCGCTCAATGACGCTCTACTTGCCTCACCATTCCAACATTTATATATTATCACAGAAGTCCATCGTAAAACTCGTCGAAATCGAATTGTTCCTTTATCAAAACAAAAATAATTGCACGATACGATCGAATACATGTATACGCAGAGGTCGTGTATATTCGATACTTGTAGGCTCGAGTCGTTGCAATCGCGTCTTATCTTACGAGAACTGAAAATGTATACATTATTAAATAGCATCGGCTCTCCGACACTCTTTTTTCACGGTTCAGTAACCCCCTGCTGTATATGTTACTCTGTGCATGTGCGCACGGTCGATGAGTCTCTTTAGCCTTTGTTTGTATACTATAATGCCCACGCCCGTACCAAACAACATGTATGTGCTTTTTATATAATTCATAAAAAATTTTGCTTTACAATTAAATAATTTGCTTTAGTAAATTTATTACTTTCATTTCTTTCGGCAAATAAGTCTTTTCAAGTCAACTTTTTCGTCCTTAAACCTTAGCAGTAACTATTTCTATCGAAGCCTTATTAATGCCACGATCGATATATTATCATCGCACTTTGCCTATTAAAAGAAACAATGATTCATAATCAATTCGGCTCTTTGTGAAAATTTTTTCTTCATCTCCTTCTAAATATACATCTAATCTGAACCCAACTTCTCAATGAGCTAGTGAACGGAATCGAGTAGTCAAAACCCTTATAAAATCTGGAATTAATTTTTATTCTTGACCTTTTCAAATGAATAAATTTAAATGCTTGAGAACAAATGTAACATGAGGAATAATAATAATATTTTATTTACATTAATTTCGATCAATATCTTTGCTCAAATTATTTATTCACGTCAAACTGTGGCCGCTTCAAGGGAAAAATTACTTCAACTTTTATAAGCTGGCACTATACTTCAGAAGCGACTTGTATATAAGTTAAAGTGCCAATTAGATAATACTGATACGATGTAAAATAATGTCGAATTTCAAGTAGTTTGCTATGCTTGAATTTTTTGTAGTGGCCTTTTAAAGTGAAAGAGAGAGAAGCTGACCAAGAAGTTTTTTAAAAGAAGCTCCCGATGCGGGAGCGCCTTGAGAGTTCGACTATTTTTGGCCTGGTTCGCCGTAACAAGATTAGAAGCTATTTTTTATGATTAAGTTTTAATTTGACAAATTTGAGATTGAAGATTGCGAATACAATATCAGTTATGAATGAGTCTATCTGATTCAGCAATTTTTCTATCCGTGCAGTACAAATGATGCACGACCTCGGTCTTGGTGCTGAAGTCTGGCTTTTCCGGTACAGCTTGAAACGCGATGCCGTTCATCGTGTCGTAACACTTTGAGTGGCGGGAATATCACTTGAGCTCTAACGATTCTAATCAGTTTTTTCAAGACTTATTTGAGTATAGATGCTTACCTTTTTATTTATGACTTTTGTAAGCAGTTATTGAATAAAAAACAAAAGGGTTGCATGGAACAAGGACTACACTATTTGAACACAGACTCTGAAGAAAAAAAATTCAGAAAATAATTATTGGGTAATTTCTAGAGTGATTTTAGTCTTGAAACAATGCGGATGTCCGTTCGGTTGCCCCGTTTGGTTGTAAAAAGTAGGAAAAAATGAATAAAAACAGAGCACAAGCAGGAGCGATTAAATAATGATTTGTATCGACGTCGAATAATTAGCACTACTATTACACATAGCACACGCATGCACGGTAGTAAGCAGAGCGTGTCAATAATCCTGTGGGTGCAGTCCATACAACAAAATCGACCAATCTCATATATCAATAACGAAAATCATCAACTCATTACATATTTGCTATAAACAATGCGACAATTAACATCAGTTTTACTGGTTACCGATTTAAAAAATTAGTTTTTGGTAAAACGATTGGCGTTGAATCAGCATTTGGTGCAGCATTTGACAGTCTCAATAGCGCGTGTATGCGTTGCATTGTGTAGTGTACACGTAACAGCGTTCAAGCAAACGCTGAAGCATAAGAGAGAAAATTCGATTACTCGGAGCCAAGGCCAAGAATTCTCTTCCTGCATCTGTTAATAAGCTTTGTAGCTGCTATTTGTACCTATATACATGCTGCATAGCTAGCGGTGAACAGATATATGGGCCTCGCCTTTTAAACTAATTCCAATCGACGATCGCACCAAAATGAGCCGACGTATTCCTAAAGAGTTATTGTACATGAATACTTTTTTACAACTTAGTATTTCCTATGATGAATTTGAACAATCGAATGAGTTTCGAACTTGAAAAATTAACTGTAGCAGCTACGCCGCCAAAGGTACTATCATCATGCCATGCAAAAGCCTTGAGCAATTTAATGATACTAAGGTGCGATGTTCATCACGTATTAATTAGCAAAGCAGTTGAAAGTTATGACCAAAAATTGAAATCCATACCATGAATTATTGTACATTCTTCAAACGCTATGATAAATCATAAAATATTTGTGTGCAACCAAAAAGATTTTGACAACTCGTAAAGAATTTCCTAACTAAGCCGTTCATTGCTAACTTATCTTCGGTATACCTATTTATAATATAATTTTGCAAATATAATTTTGCTCGCGTCGACACAACGGCACATGCGTGCTTTTATTGACTCCATTTTTTCATCAATACATGGTTACATATTCTCTTCATATTTGATACATGTACTGTTTTACAAGCGCAGAACTTATTGCATTTTAGCGTTCATTCGCATGACGGAATCGAGTGTGGAAACCTTGGTGCACAGCTTGGAAGGTGTGTAATAAAAAGTGTGGATTGACCAATGAGTAAGCCACAACTCGTGGACTCGCATGCAGAAAGAAAGAAAGAGAGAGAGAGAAGAAGAGATCATCGGATGATACAGAAATAGAGAGTTGACCCTGAGGATCGGATCAACTAAACGCGCGGCAGTTACCAGCGTGACTTTGTGCGCGAGTGAAAGATCACTAGAAAAGATCTAGTTGCTAAATAAAGAGATAGGCCTCGCTTATGCGCGATTTAGACGCGATTGCTTCGATCGATGCGCTCAAGAGTTTGATTTTTTCAGTGGAACTCGCCAACAGCTCTTGTAATTTACCACTGCTTGACTGTTGAATCTTACAAACTGTATTATAAACGTCATTAGGTACATTTGGTCAATACACAACTAAGAATCGGTGGAAAATTTATCCGAAACGAGTTTCACTCGATAACGGAATTATTTGATGATTGAAACGAATCAGTACTTTTTGAAAATAGGAAAACAAGTACAAAAGGGTGAAATTAATTTAGAACTGATATTAGGAAGAAATTACCAAACATTTTTTACTTTTGTTGGAATACATAGAGTCGCGCTCAATTATATAAATTCAACTAGCATTTTAGAATCAAAAATGAATATTTTACACTACATCTGGAAAATTACTAAAATCTACGACAGAACCATCGTAACTGCTCTTACACTTGATTAAAATCATCGATTCGAAAAAAGAACGTCGTGATATGAAGATAATTTATCTTTTCAAGCACTATTTCTTCCTTGACTTTCGAAAAAAAGCAAAACATTAGACCCTCTGAAGTCGATAAAGAAATTGATTTTCTGTCGAAACGAGCTGTTGTATCCTTGACATCGTGTCATCAAAATATATCATATACTTTTACAAGCTTATACCCGCACGCACATTGCTGAAGATTATTATCAAAACTATTCAAAAATACATTGTCGAACTTAATAAAATCAATTCAAATGAAAAAAGATGTTTTCACTACTTAAATAATATTGATAGAATTTAAAAAGTGACATTTTCATAGAAAGTACATTCGAGTTTCGTATATTCATATCTCTGTTTTCATTTTTATGTAAAAAAATTTTCTCTCGTTTTTAAATGTTATTCCATTATGTTCTTTGATATTTTAAATTTGTAATACCGTATGATCGATCACTTTTTATTTTTCCCAAATACTTTTTCGCTAATCAATGATTACAAAAACTATGTGAGGATATCTAGTTGTAAATTAAGATATAGGAAAGACAAAATAATTTTATAAACTCAATATATTATCAGACAAAATATTATGAGTTCAAGTCATTATCTAATATTTTATAAAGTATAAAAATGAGGTATGTATATTTTCGATTAGTCAATCGATAATGAAATTATAAAATGCAGAATTTTCCAGTGAAAAATATTACAATCACGAATATCAAATTTGAAGACTTAGTATGAAATACTTTAGCTTATGCCGATGCCCAAATAACAAATAACATCCTAATTTACTGAAATTACAGCATAGAACTTACTTACAACCGAAAAATAGAAACTAAATAGGTAAAAATTATGTGAAAGAGATGAAAACGTAAATATACGTTAAAATAAATACGTAAAAAAACGTAAAAAAGATATGGTCGTAAATTTTTGATAGCTACTATCTTAATATTTTACCTATCATCTTTTTAAAACTTCAAGATTAATTAACAATATGTGACTGCAATATTTGTAAAAATTTGTTCAAAGTGTCATGGAGAACTGTCAAGTTGGATGGATTACTCCACCGTTGGATGATCTTATTGTCTTGAGCCATATACTTGTAGTAGTTAAGCGAAAAAAAGTTTCAAACCTGATGGGACGTCCATGGCGATCAATCCATATACCTTATGCCAGACAAAAAGATTTTTTTCAAATCACACTCGGAACAATCTGTCACTGAATTGGTGAACATTTAAAAAGACCACGAGGCTTAGAGAATGACAAATGCAAGTACCAATATGTCAAACAGCAGCAGCGAAGTAGGAAAAACACAGCAAGCTAAGGCATCAGCCATCGGATAGAACTGGCTGCAGCTAAGCCCCGTGCTGTAACACACGCGGAAGCCCAGAGACAGCGGAGAGACAGTGCCACGAGCTGCGCGCGCACGCCTAGAGCTGGTGCAGTCGCAGTAGCAGCAGCAGCAGACTATAATGCAGTATGCACGTGCTGCTGAAGGCCCCTCCACTCGTCGAGTCAGGCGTCGAGCTCGGCGCGTCCGTGTGAGTGCGTGTAGGTGCAGCGATAAAGGCGAGCCGAGGCGAGCGTGTGCGTGCGAGCTCGCCTGGGAGAAGGGGTACGCAGCAGCAGCAGCCAAAGCGTCCAACAGCTGAGCGGTCGAGCCCACACAGCTGAGCGAAGACTTGTTAAGTTAGCGCCCAAAGTTTTTGAAAATGCATTTTACGAGTGGAGAAATAGCCCATTGAATTCCTCCTTACTTGCGGATAATTCCTCCAGTTTTATATTTACTTGCGGAATTCGCGTTCAAAAGTTATTAAATAAACAAAATGTTGATATTCGGCTGGGCGCTAATTTCACTTTCACGTTTTAAACATGCTACAAGCTGTTTATTGCACTGAAACAATTATCAATGAATTCCTCCTTACTTGCGGATTATATATATACCGATTAGAACGCGAAATTCGATTCATACATGAATTAAAATAAATTAATAAAAATATGTGCAAATAATCGTACGACGAGAGCAAGGAGCGTGCTGCGCGCGCATTTCAACGTCTGCGGCTACTGTCGGCTGCTGAGTTTTCGTATGGATTTGTTTACAAGCAGAGGTCTACTATTGTAACAATCACTAAAAGGTATATATTAATCATTAAATTAATAATAAGTGACTGAATTATTTCAGCAGCTAAGTGTTATAAATTATAACCAATTAACCCTGTAGTTGTGTTTTATTTACATTTATATAGGGGCATTAAGTTTTCAATGTGTATATTTTGATAAGTGTAACCTGAAAATGAGTTTGCTGTTGCAATTGTAGCTTATCTGTGTTATATTTTTTGTGTAACGTTGCAGATCATGGACGTGGTACTGATAAACAAAAACCCAAAGGCTTTGGTTTCTTTGCATTGTAGATATTTTCACTATCGTAGATGCAAAAATTCAAGGAGAAACCAGAAGAAATTTTTATTTCATTGTAAAGAAATCTAAAAAGTATTTTACGGAGAGAATTTTTAAAGATCACTTGGGCACCGATACTCTTCAGGATGTAGGGATTCTTAAAATTGTAGCTGTAAACAGAAGAAATTTGATCTATTTAAAGAAAGAGAGTGAGGGTCATTTCGAGCTTATTGTAGAGCCGAGTCAAGAGCACACAGAATCAAAAGTAGAAACCCTTCTGCAAATCGTTAAATCCCTTATTGGTATATGGTTAGTATATATAATATGATCAATTTTTAATATTATTTTATCAACCATTTTTTTAATTTCAGGTTATTTTAATCTGGATCTCAATCGAGTATTAGATATATTATAGGACATTTTTGAAAACAGTCCTCGAGACATTGCTGTTTTCATACCTCTTATACGTTCATGCACGAGTGATAGACAAGTATAGTGCAAGTACCTGCTTTTAAATATTGTTCCAGAGCTGTTAAAGCAGATATTCTCTCTATGCCAGATGGAACAATGACACACCTCAAACTTCTTTTTATAAAATTACAGGAGTCAAACTTGATATCGCTAATCAAGATGACGAAGAAAGTGATTACAGGTATGTGTAATTATTATGCTTTGCACTATAAATTAATGAAGCTTTAATTATTTTATGTATTTTTTAAGGTAATAAGGAAGAATAGTTACGTTATTGGCATGTTGGTCTTTCTTAATGACAAAACTGTATTCACTCCAGATAAAGAACAGGTAACTCATTATTTACAAAAATATGTCTAGAACATTACGCTTACCAACTTTTAAACAAGTTTTATTGCAACCATTGTGTACGCTTTTTTTATCCTTCTCTCTTGATTACCTCTCTTGAATCTCTCTGCTTGACTCTGTTTTTTCTAAAATTATTGTCATCATACTTTTTTTTTAATGATCGTTATAATTATTAACAAAATTTATTTTCAGCATTCCCTCCATCGAATAGTCAAAATATGTTAGGAACTGCGTGTAGAGATAAACTCAATGTGAATGGAACACCACCGGGCTTGGATGATTGGGTGTACTTTAGACCCCCAGGAAAATGTGTACATGTTGATCCTCATGATGATACACATGAAATGAATGAGACAATCATACCTTTAGTTTATGTTTTTCAGGTAATTTTATTCTGCTTTCATGAAGCAAAAACTGATAAAGTTATTAACTAATTAACTAAACTATGTAATAAATTACATTTTTAGATACCAACACCAAGAAATGGTAAATTCTTGAATTATTCTCAATGGCAACATAGGTCAAATGGAGTTTTACAGATTGAAGTAATGTATCACAGCTATATTGTTGTTTGTAATTAATCTTTTTATAGTCTTTTTGAATGATGCCTAAAAAATAGTGATAATCAATTATAAATTTTTTATCTAGCTCCAATAACAAAACTTACTATAGATGCAAGACTAGCTTACAGAAATAAAGGCGATCCTGAAGATGAATGGAAACATTATGCTTCTTCGATTGTGGAAAGAAATTTGGAGTGCACAATAGACAATGTTTGTTATTAACTATTGTATTTATTAATATTTTTTTTCAGTTATTATATCTTCCATTTTTTATTTTTAGGCCCTCGAAGAGTATAATTATAACTGCAGTACATTATCACTATTCGAACTGGGTTCAGTATTTCATGATTATTACTTGCTAAATATTCGTTTACCAAATGATCCATTAAAAAGGACCAATCAAGATTTAAGATACATTACTGATTTATATGTTACAGTAAGTTGGAATTGATTAAATAAAATAAATACCCATACAAGATTGAATTTAAATTCTTCTTGAATTATTCTTGATAGGTCATTAACCAAAATGGAGGATTTACAAAAGTTTGGGTATCTCTAAAAACAGTTTCTTTCTCAATTACTTTATTAGTACTGCGCTGGCATTGGAGAAGAATACATTCGCTGTCTAGATAACCTGCACTTTTAGAAAACATGTTACTAGTACTTGGATGTGCTCTTAAAGAGTCTTCTCAATAGTAAGAAATTAAAAAAAATTAATTTGTAAAATAATTTTGAAAAAAAGTTTAAAAATCTTGTAATGTTTAATTAATTGTTTCAGTGCCATTGGAATGTCTTACTTTATTATTTGGTATGTCATACATGCTTCAGTGCCATTGGAATGGCTTACTTTATTATTTGATATGCCATACATGCTTCTATTAGAAGATATTAGGCAAGGTATATTTTATGCGACGCTTTTTTCATTCTGACTCGTGTTTGCTGGAGAACATCTCATGGTTCAGGTTGGTATTCAGCATGCTACCAACGTTTTTGGCATCCAAAAAATTAATTTATTAAATAAATTTTCATTTTAGGATGGCGATCAAGAGACATCACTCAAAGGCTATTGGCGTCATTTATTAGCGGCATAGAAACAATTTAACTTTTGCTCGCCTTTTTACCTACTCCAAACGAACAGAATGATTCGTTAATTGTTTCTTTTTATCAACGATCAGAAAATATTGTTAAAATCGTTTTAAAATTGTGAAAATTATAAATCAGTAATTCATAGATCGGTTATAAACCAGACAATGTTCATAGATCTGTTTTAGTATCAGTTTTGATAAATTTAAGAAACAATTGTTTACAGGAACGTTACAATTAGTTTTAAAGAATCATTTTGATAGGTTTTAATAATTAACGACATTTTTTTTGAGAAATATTTATTGAACATGACGATATTTATGAAATAAAACACATTTTGCTTTGCCATAAATGTTCATAACATTAATTTGTTCAGTTAACAATAATTTATTCAGTTTCACCAATCAATTCATAGTACTGTGTACATATAAAATAATATCAATTTTTTCTTCTGTATGCTCTAACTTTGAAATTTTGAAAGAATTAGATTTTTTTTGTTGATCATCCTTAACGGACCATCGATCATTCACGGACCTACAGTACGCAACATAATGTAACAAATTTTCATCATATTTACTTGTAGAAGATGAAATCATTCCAGCTAGAAAATATAATTCATTATTGATTTTTAAATTAATTGGAATGCTAGCTGGATGTATGGAATTTGAGTTATTAAATTGATCCATGGTCAAAAATAGTAAAGGTGCTTGAAATTTTTTGTTCTTAATTTTTAGATGTTTATCAACATAGTTCGCTAAGCTGTTGGCATTGAATAACTCATCTTCGAATGATTTTTCAAGTTCTATGATTAATTCATTTTCAATTGATATAAATTCACAATCTTGAAAAACTGTTTTTACAAATTCTTTCACGTTTAAATTACATTTTATAGTTCCGTTTTCAACAGTGAAGTATTTCAGACAATGTTTTAATCGATCTTTACGCAAATTTGTATAATTTCCAGACTCCATGTAATTAATAATCGATGTATTGATACAGAAGTGGCTAGTACATGTACTGACTATGATATTTTTAAAATTAGCATAATTAGAACAGGCTGAAAGGCATAGCTCGAATAGACTATCAAACAGACACGAAGAATCAAATTCGTATTTTTTTCTGTTGTACTCCATCACGGCATCTTCATTAGCATTTGTCAGCATTTTTAATTTTTTCATACTTGGCCTAGAATGTTTTTCCCTCAGATCTGCACATTTTCTTAAGAATTTTCCTCTTTCTCTTGTATTCAAACGTTTGTTTTCATTTGAGTTTTCATTTATTACAGGAGGCATCAGAGTTTTTCTGACCAAATGGCTCATCGCCCTTCTCAATGATCCATCCAGGTAGTCATTGACATACCGAGCAATAAAAAGCTGACATGAAATGGGCCTATGAAGTCTAGAGATGTGGCGAAGATCTGCAAACAGAGCTTCTGATCGTCCAGATGTTGCTACTTCGATATTAGTATTGAATTTTTTCATCATTATGTTTGTCCATATTGGATATTCTGAGAATAAATTTAAAAAATTTTTCATTACATCAGGGCAGTAATATTTATTTTCTTCTTCTCCTTTTTTAGATATTAGATGTTCACAATTTTTTTGCACTTTCATAATGTCATTCATTAATACGTTATTGGAGTTGTCACATTTATTATCACTCCCATTGTCACTTTCACTTTCACTGTCATTTTCATCTTCATCAAGGTCCACTAGAGTGAATTCATTACATGAATCGCAATCACAATCTTTCTCACATTTTTTAATTGTATGGGTCTCAATGACATTTATTAAATTTTTTAATGCTGTATCAGCAAAAGAATCAATTGTTATTTCAGGACTTTGACAAACGACAAAGATGTTTTTGACGGTTTCTATAAATTGCTGATAATTTACTACTTTACTCAAGAAACCAACAAGGCTTACATAAAAATCTTTGACATACCAGGAATATCCATGGAAACAAGGCCACCTAGTTATAGATTTTATTAAATGTGCTATATCTGCTCTTATAAAACATGGTGGCATATCACTTTTATTTTTTATCACAGCCTCATGACACCAGTTCAAGTACGTCTTGAATGAACAATTATTGTACGATAAACTGATACAATTTTGTAGAGCCTTGGAGCCATCAGTCACTATTTGTTTAATAGGCTGAACATTTCTTGCTCGCCACTTATCAAGCATAATTTTTAGAGAACTAGCTGCATGATATTCAGTTAGAAACTGAAATACTGGATAAATTTTACCTAAACACAATAACAATGGGTTCAAATAATATAAATTGTTTTTACTTAAATATGAAATATACATATTGAATCAATAAATTTACCTCCAATTGATGTGCTTATTACATATAAAAAAATATGTGAAGAGGTGCTTGACAAGGAGCGCTTAATTCTCTTCACAAATCTTCCAGCTGCATCCATTGAGACTGATAAGTCTTCACTCGTTGAGCATAAATAATTCCACAATTCTATTTGTTGCTGTGTGCCAAACACAACGTGAAAGGGATATTCTTCCAAAGAACTAATTACGTCCTTCCACCTATCCCCACATTTCATATTTATTAACTCATCAATTACATTTTTCCCACTTTTAACACCTTGTGCTTTAAATTGTATGCTTGTGCGAGCTTTTCGCAAAACTGGAGTGGTCGGTACCAAGGGTCCGGAAACTTTGCCAAACTCCGTGTAGATTTTCTCCAGTTTTCTTTGGAATTTTAAAGGTTTGACGTGGAGTAATTCTTCCTGGTGACGTTTTCTTACGTGACCAGACATCGGTCTTTTCCCGAAGTGATCTATTAGACTCGAATCACGAGTACTAATATTAAATTCATATTTATCTGATGACTCTTTATAACTTCCTTTCAAAGTATTCTTGCACTCATGACACTTGGCACTTATTTTTATCTCTTTTGTTGATTTACAATAATACCCTTTTCCAAACATAAAAGCACACGGATATTTATATTTTTCGTAAAATTTTTCGAAAAAAATGTGCGTCCATCCGTCCGGAAGTGTTTTTTTTGTATAATTATCAAACTGTTTATCTATGGGTTTTATATTAAGCCACTCAATATCTGTGAATTCAATGGTAAGATTGTCTTTTTGCTCACACTGAAATATAGCTAGATCCTGGATGGTGGGATTGATGATTTTTTGAGACACAGATTCATTATCATTCAAATAATGTTCATTTAACTGATCTTTTAAACCATTCCAATTATCTTTTACGTAAAAGTATATTGTTGATGGCTTAAGTAAATTCCCAACTTCATTACTCACATTTTTCCAAACTTTGTTGCTTTTTCCAATTAGTTTTCCATCATCATCAAAAATTTGTTTTGTTTTTATTACTGCAAACAATTCATCGACACTTTTAACGGGGGCACGACCAAACACCTTCCGTGATTTTTCATTATTCTGAATTTAAACATATATATTTAGCATAAAATTAAACTTCATACATGGTAAAAAAAAAATTTTTTTCAACTTACTTTGTTGCTCTTAGAGATTAGATCAATATCCATTTCAGAACTTTCAAATATATCAATAGAATCCATTTTTACGTAGAAAAATAAAGATGTTTATAACTTGTCTTAATACAATGATGAATGTTGTAACAATTGAATTACACGAAACAACCCCTTCAATAAGTAAAATAAATTTTTAAGACAAAACGAACACACTAGTCGAGCAGGTCCAGACACGGGCACATACGGAGCAATGATCATTTTCTTTCGCGCCTCCGTTTCTATCACCGCTGCTCGGCTGCTACGATCCTTCCGAGAATCGGCCTGTCCCGGCCAACGAACTATCGCGACGCTGCATGCGATTTAGTGCAGATTTGAATCGAGCAGGTCCATACACAGACAAATTTGGAGCAACGATCGTCTTCTTTCGCGCCTCCGTTTCTATCACCGCTGCTCGGCTGCTACGATCCTTCCGAGAATCGGCCTGTCCCGGCCAACGAACTATCGCGACGCTGCATGCGATTTAGTGCAGATTTGAATCGAGCAGGTCCATACACAGACAAATTTGGAGCAACGATCGTCTTCTTTCGCGCCTTCGTCTCTATCACCACTGCTCGGCTGCTTGCGATTTAGTGCAGATTTGTATCGAGCTCGGTTCGAACTATCCTCACACATCGAAATAAGTAGATAGACCGTAAAAATGCCACCTAAGAAAGGAAGTGTTGATTACGACCAAAGATTCAACCAATTATTAAACTTTGTAGATTACATCTTCGATGAGGATGGTGAGCTTGTTTCCGAAAGTGCGAAAATGCCAAACAGTTCCGAACTTGTTTGGGAACTCGTGGCTACTGAAATGAATCTTAAGAAAAGAAACATTTACGAGTGTGTTAATCAAAATCGAGGCCAATCAAAAGGAACGCTCGGATTAAAAGACAGATTAAAAAACCATGTCAAAAATAATAATCCTAAAAACGAAGTAATAAAAAGTCTCGAGAGTGACAGTGACAGTGACTCAGAAAGTGATTCCGAATATATAAACAGTGAAATAGTCTGCGGCGAATTAGAAAAAAATAACGCGGAAAAAATGGAGTGCACAAATAAATTAATTAGATCTGATGTCTTGCAGTTCTTAAGAGACATGAGAGAAGATATTTTTTACAGAAAGTATATTAAACATTTAGGAATATTCGATTTTCATGTCATCTACTGGAGTTCAAAGCAAGTCAGCAATTACAATTACTTAGTGAAACAATTAGATTATATTGAAGTGATCGTAATCAAAAATTATTTTCAACCTTTTTACCTTCTTACTCACCTGGTAGATGACATCAGTTTTATTGGCATTGGTGGAAAACTTGAAAAAAAATTTCTTTTCGCTCAAATGATATCTGATAATTATAGCGATAATTTTGAAGTGTTTTTTACCGAATGGTTAAAATCAAAAGTTCACGTACCAGAAGCAATTATATGTCCGTGTAACTCGAAGATAATATTATTGTTAACGAGTGTTTTAAATGGTAGCATTCCTCCAAAAGAATATTACAAAGCATGTTTCAATTATTATAAAGCGACATTAGTCGGTCAACAATATGTTAAGCCAAGATCCATCATAAAATTATACGTTAAAGATGTTATACTGTGGGTGCGAAATTTAGAATGTTTTAAAACAGATGGCATGAAAATATTCTATTGCCACGTGATTTTATATCTGAGCACAATTAAAGAGAGTACTATTTTTGAAAAAATAGTAAAAATCATCTTTAATTTGATAAAAAACGAATATGAAAACGATGTTTGTAAGGATTTCAGACAAACATTAAAACATATTGTAATTCGTGATGAATATTCGAAAATTGTTGCTAATTTAAAAGCAGATGATGATAGTGATTTTGAAGAGATTATTGACATTCAAAATGTATCGATTGATATAGTCGATTATTTTCAAGATCTTGGTGATTGCAGTGATCAAAATTTTTATGATGGTTCTCAAGACTTGAATGGATACAGGTGCGAACAATTTGTTGACCGGTTTACTACTCTGTGTTGTTTCTTCCCTTTATGGTGCAATTTCATGAAAGAAAATTTAATTTCACCAACATCCTATGAAGCATACTTACCTTCCGTGCTGGATTGTCACTCAAAGTGGAATGTAGATGATTTTATAAAATCACACATTACAAACATAAAAGAAAGTGAATTACTTGGCAACGGTGATAACACCGAAAAAAACAATAAAAAATGTACTTCGCCCAAAAAAAATGAAATTTCATTTGACGATAGCCACTTGTGCTATACGGAAGGTTGGTTTGGACAAGACGGTCACACAGGTTCTACCGGAGAAGTTTTGTCTTTTGAAGAAAATCGGGCTATTGTTCAAAACGACAACATTGAAGCAGATCAACACGAAGTGACTACTTTATGTAATTTATGGGAAAAACTTCAAAATCATAAAGTATTTGTCAACGGAAATCAATGTAAGAAGTTGACGCACGATAATCGACTGTATCAAATTAAAAATACATGCCCAATAGATAGTTTGACAGAATTTTTCATATGTTTACTGAAAGAAAGTAAAATTATCTTTGAAAATCTGTTTCAAATAATCCAAAGTAGAAATGGTACAGAGATAAATGTTTTTAAACTTATACTCGACTACCTTCAATCTGATTGTTCGCTCGAATTTTTTTATAAAGAAAGATTGAAGTACATGTTGGTTGTAAAAGAATATGAAAAAAAGGAAGATTACATTTTAGTAGACCTTAGAGAAATTAGGTGTGAGCATAGTATTAGTTCATTGTATAAGAAATTATTCGATCCAATATGTGAAAATACAAGAACAATAATTTGTGAAGTATGCACCAACCAAACGGAAGAAAAGTTTATTTTGATAACTCCCGATATACATAAACTTCGTGATAAAGGAATATCCGGCCTTCAAGAATTGATAATGGATGATTTACAAGATGAATTTACAGATTGTTCATTTTGTGGTAATTATGCCTCTGCGACATTGACAAAAAATATAAAATCAATCCTTACAATAGACATTGAAGATGC